TCCATTTGTTGTATCAACGATGTGTACCTGTTTTGTACCCATCTCATCAATCTTCTTTGTCAGTAGGCTCATCTGGGTCAGGAGTGTAGCCATGTTCTCTTCCTGCGAATTATTGGGATCAAGTGGAACTGAATGCACTATGGGTGCCAGTGTTGCACTTCTAGTCATCCACCCCGCATTTTGTGACATCTTATCGAGGAGAATTTTGCACTCGGTGAATGTTTTGCTTAAGAAAGCACCTCCAGCTGAAGCATCCACATTCGCTTTCAAGTTGTCAGCTAGACCCATGTAGAATTTCTGGCCAAGCATCTGGTCTGGAATGCCATGATGAGGACACTTCACAAGCATCCCTTTAAATCTCTCCCAAGTTTCTTGCAAGGACTCCGTGGACTGCTGCCTAAACTGTAATATGGCATCAATTTGCTGTGCAGTCTTGTTAGGCGGATAGAACTTGTTTAGAAATTGCTTCACTAATTCCTCCCAAGTGGTAATAGAGTTGATAGGGAGCGAATTTAACCAAGTCTGAGCTGCCCGGTTACTGAGAATGAGAACAAGAGCAATTTGATAGCTTCAGGGGTTACATTGGGTTGCCTTTGGGTTATGCAAATTGACAGAAAATTTTTCAAGTGTTGTTACGGGTCTTCAATGCTTGACCCGGAGAACAGTCCCTTGTTTTGCAGCAGATGCACCATGTTGTTGGTGATCTGGAATGTCTCCGCTTGAATTGCGGGCACAGCTATGGCAGTGGCCAGATTGTCAGTTGTAGGCTGTGCCCAGTCATATAGTGCAGTCTCGGGCACAAGAGGTGCTACTCCTCTGACATTTAAGTCAGCTGGCTCATCCCTGATATTTCCGTTGACGTTATCTACGTCACCCATGCCAAATTCGAGTTGGTGTGTTGGTTGAGGTTGTTGAAGTCCTTTGCTGGAACGGTTCAATGCCCTGAATATTTTCTCGGGGTCTGAGAGTCCTTCTAGTACTTCTCCAGTCCTCGAAGAATTTGTAGGCATACACCTGCTTTCCACAAGATTTCAAACGTTAGAATTTCAATGAAAAGATTGGTATAGAGAAAACTGACTACACTTAGAATTTTTGTATTTCTTTCAATTGTAATTGATAACACCGTTAATTTCCCGGCAACAGCGCCAAAATTTGATCACACTCAACTAAGTCTCACAAAAGACTATGCGGGCATTGCAAATATAATCTGAGTATTATTGCCCAGAGTCGAACCACAGGGAACTAACCTATCAGTCACTACTGTCAGATTTACTAAATTCACACAATCTGTTTTCCCAAACTTTTTGATTCACAATGGTTGATTTTCTAACAACTAAAGGTTGAAAGTAATTAACAGCTGAAAATTAACTAAACTTGATGTGTAAACAGTAGAAATAAAGTCTAAGGCAATGGTTTCCCCCGCTGGTAATTTCCTTGGTTGCATATGTCTTATAAATACGATTTAGTTGTCTGTAACAATCATGAACGCTCAAGCTATCATAATTATTTCTCAAGTAATTATGATAATCTACTAGACGCACTCTCTCAAGCTACGCTAGCTAATTTCATAATACAATTCACTTAGATTGCACCCGGGGTTTCGTTATCTCTAATCCAACCCCTAAACCCTCGGTTATGACTCTCGTCTATACTCCAGGAGTGATGTTGTTCATACAATCACCTAAATATGCACTCTCTCTCAAGTAGATACATAATAAATAGGAACAGATAATTGAGGGCCCTTTCAACTAATCCACAATCAAAACATAGATGAACAATTAGAGATTAACAACCAAATTCAATTATATTAACAAAACAACCAAGTCATCCCCAACGGGTTCCACCAAAACCTTAGATTAAGGTTTTTAGCTACTCATGACAATGGGGAAATAAACTACTAAAAGATTTATAATCATAAATTGCAAGAAAAATAAAGAAGAATAAGAGTAATGATATTTTGGGTGATCTCTCACACTTGTTTTCCTTGCCAAAGTACTCTCTAAAAACATTACATGACTCCCTTGGGCGAGTTCTATTGTTTAAATAGGGTTTTTGGGCTAATAATTCCGTGTTTTGCACTTCAGTCCCTCAACTTTACGCCTCCTGCCGCGGTCCTACCGCGGTTACGCTAGGACCGCGGCCAAATGACCTCTCTGAATCTGCAATAGCTTCTCGCCGCGGTCCGACCGCGGTTGCGCCGGGACCGCGGCAGTTCATCTCCAGTTCTGGTTTGTGCATTTCACATGGTGCACTTGGCGGATATTATGCGATTGGCCTCTTTTTCCTCCATAATTGATCCCAAAAGTACTCCATAGCCTTCTTTTATTGTATGTAACCTGCAAAACATGAAAAGCACTAATAAGAGCATTTTGTTATCACTTTTACCAAAAAAACTCTACAATAAAGTGGTGCTTTTAGGGCTTAATCATAGTTCAATTCACCTATTATCAACCACCTAGGCGAAAGTCACTACCCTAGTGCCTTTTACTCATTTGAACAACTTGCAATAGTTTAATCCTAGCTTATAGTAGTTTAATTGAGCATTGTAGTTTATAGAATTAGAATCATAATTAAAACCCAAAAATGTGTAGAAGTGCAATTTGGAGCAAACACACAACTCCACTTTAGATAGACACCCAACTCCAATATCTAGCTCTCTGTGGAATTCGATCCCGACCCTAAATCGGGTAAAAGCTGCTTCAACCTCTCTCGCTACTTAATAGTAGTGCAGGATTGGCCGCGATCAATGACACACATAAAGAAGTCACACCACCACACAAATATCATCAATAACAATGCCCTCAGGCCATCACAAATCTTCCTTGACATAGCCCCCCTTGTCTCGCCGCGTGCGCAACAATAAACTAAATGCCAGCCTTGTCTCGACACACACTCAAGTATGCATGATACACATAAGAAAGTCACACCACCACACAAATATCATCAATAACAATGCCCTCAGGCCATCACAAATCTTCCTAGACATAGCCCCTCTTGTCTTGCCGCGTGCGCAACAATAAAGTAAATGCCCACCTTGTCTCGCCACGCCGCATCAATAATTATACCACCTTATATATATATATATATATATATATATATATATATATATATATATATATATATATATATATATATATATATATATATATAGCCCGCCTTGTCTCGCCGCATATACAATATCAATAAAAATAATAGCATGGACAACTCACGTGAAAACAACCCGACAATCCTCTCAACAATTTAACATGTGGCAAAGTCACAACAACACAACATACCAACTCGCACCACACGTGCTCATATACTACAACATTGCCAAAATAACAATAACCATATCACAACAATGCATAACCCCACGGCTTAACAACAATGCATGCAAGAATCTCAACAACAACACATTGAAATAGAAGAATAAACTCAATAGCCAAAGATTATTCATATAATAACAACATCAATCAAGTGCATATGAGAATAAACTTAACCATGAAAGCGGTAACGTGTAATAACAACTTCAAATAAGGATAAATCAACAATGAAAGAGATAACATGTAGTAACAACTTCGAATAAGGATAAATCAACAATGAAAGAGGTAACATGTAATGAAAACTTCAAATAAGAATAACGCAACAATAAAAGAGGTAACAACTTCAATTAAAGCATATAAGAGTAAACTTGACATTAAAGATAAAACATGATATGCCAACTTCAATTAAATGTATGTAAGAAACCTAAGAGTCTAAACCGATAAATTTTCACATATAAGGCCGTGTACCCACTTGTCACCTTGTGTTCACGTCTTCCACATAATTCAAATAGTACAATTAAATCCAATTGTAGGTTCCCCCCCCCCCCCCCCC